GGTAAATTAGTAATTAAAGTCTCACAAAATAGCCTTTAAAATATTTATAATGGTAATTATGTAATTAAATGATTGTTTAGGATATATTAGACAAAAAATTTTACCATGCCATCAATTTTTACAGATGGATTTTCCACGCAATTAAGTAACAAAAAAAAAAATAAGTTTTTTCATTAATTAACCTATCACATTAGTCAAAATTTAACATATGGATTAAAAAGGGATCAAATTTCAAACAGTAAAGACTAAAAAGGAGATTTTTTGATACAAGGACTAAAATTTTTTTTTTCCTATAATAGAGGGACCAAAAAGGATATTTAACGAAAAAGAAAAATTAAAAGTTGTTTTAACTATTTAAATTCATGATTAATAACTACTAACGACCTAAATAATTTAATAGTTATTCTTTTTCACTTAAAGTAAAAAGTTTTGAGTGTAAGTCACATACCATGCGAGTGGATTAGAATAAAAGAGAAAAGATGATTGTTTCTCATTGTACAATCAAAATAAAAAAAATCTATAATTAATAACGAAGATAATTTTATTATCAAATTACACAACTAATAGTCTAATAGTCTATAAATTCAATCATTTAATTATTTAAAATTTTAATTAATAATAAAGATAATTCTATTATTGAATCACATTATTAATACTCTAGATAGGTTTTTATTTGCGTAAGTTTTATGGGCAACAAAAGCAAGAGCTAGCTAGAGTACCTAATTTGACATTTATTGAAAATCCAGGGACTACCCACATAGTTAACCCCATTAAGAACCCTCATGTTTTCTTCAGTCAAACTCTGTAGACTTCCCTGCCCTCCTTACTGACACGTACAGTGCATAGGATCTAAACGTGTCACTCTGCATGTTGCATGCGAGTTGTTTCCAACACATGTCAAGATCAAAGAAAACACCAAAACAGAAAAATGGAAAAACAATCCGAAAACAAAATGAAAGAAAATTAAAACAAATCTGCAACCGTACGCGTCCCATTTCCAATGAATATCAGAGTCATGCGTTGCGTTGACGGTCCAGATCGACTCCCAAGGAATGAACCCCGAACTGCAACTCAGCCGCTGCAATCAAGAACTCCACTGCCTGCTGCGGCGTCAACAGCTCCACCACCCGCCTCAGCGTCTTCAGTCGCAGCTCATCCGCCTTCCTCAAGACGATCACCAGCCGTCCGATCATCTGGTTGACGTCCGTGCATGAAGCCCCCACCAGTTCGCTCACGCTGCTTTGCCACTCCGATAACTCATCGGTTATGGCATTCTCTTCTTTCACGGTCTCGCATTGTAAGTCGCTCACTCTCCTGCTCAACAATGATTAATTAATTGGAGCTAAATTTTTTAAGAAAATAACTATTAATAAAAAAAGAAAAAAAATTTTGTTTTGTTCACCTGAACTGATTGGGAGAAAGGTCACCGAGATCTCCGGTTTTGAGCCCACGGAGAATATCAATGATGTGGGACTCAAAGAGGATGCTGGACTCAGTGTAGACTAAGTGGAACACGATGGTGGGCCTCCAGCCGCCGATCCAGTGGAGGGAGCGCTCAAGGGAGGAGGCCCAGGGAGCAGCAAAGATTTCCAAGACATCATGTTCAGCAGCTGTGGATTTGACTCTGTAGTACTCGGAGTAGTGAGAGAGGAGATTGTCGACGAGTTGTTCCAAGTGGCGAAGGTGGTCTGGGGTGGTGGGTGGCTTTGGGGCGGAGCAGAGTTGCTGCACCAGGTGCTTTAGCTGACCAAACCAGGTGTCGTAGAAACTGTGGAAGCTGCTCGTCATTTTTGGGTGGGTGAGAGTGAGACTGCGAATGAGAGAGGATGTTTATGAGAGAAAGGGTTATATATAGATAGGACTACAAATTTTTTTTCAATTTATTTATTTTTTGGTTTTTCACGTGAGGATCATTGATTAAGAATCTCTCTCTATATAAAAATTATATATTGATTAAGAAAATCAATAAAATTTAAGTTTCTATTGTATTAGTGATGTCTAACGAATTTAAATAACATAATTTTTAGTAGAAAAAAAATTTAAATTCAAATTGTATTGCTTGAAATAAAATGATTTAAAAGATGAAAGAGAATTGTATTTAAATTTGCAATTGAATATAAAAAAATTTTATTAGTGATGATTAAAGTTACGTTTTCCTTTCCTTTTAACATAATCCACTCTTAAAAAAAAAAAGAAAAAAAGTTAAGAGGCTAGGTAAAAGTCGGTATAAACTCGGTGCATATAAAGAGCCAAACAGTCGGTAGGTACGTATAGATGCGTGTGAGGTGGCATTGGACCTTCAAATTAGTCTAAACATTACACCAAGGGACAGCCTCTAAGTTTTGGCTGTGGTCATGGCCAGGGCTGGTAGTGCCAGTGGCACACAAACTTTTATATATTGTTTGTTAAAATATTAATTTAATTTAATAGTTAAAAATAATTAGTAATTATAATTATTAATAAAATAAAAAATTATATTATTAATTATGTAATCTAATAATAAAATTATTTATACTATATATTAATTATAAATTTATAATTTAATTCTTAATATCTACATATCAAAAATAAATGATAAATTGTTAATATCACTACAGCATTTTTGCCATTTAGCTACGTTTTTTTTTTTACCTACGCTCACTATTTTGTAGGTATAGGGTTCTCTTAGTTATGATTTATAATTTGTGGGTATATGGATAAGTTATAGCTACATTCACAAAACAACCATAGGAAAAATTATACTATACCTATACAATTCAATTGATGTAGGTATATAAAAGAACTATTAGTTACAATATGTAATTTGTGAGTATATAGATAAGTTATAATTACATCCACAAAACAACCGTAGGAAAAATTATACTATACCTACGCAATTTCAATTGGCGTAGATATATAAAAGAACTATTAGTTACAGTATGTAATTCGTAGGTATATGAATTTAAGATTTATTTATAGATATAAAAAACCGTAGGTATACACAATAGATATACCTTCAATCACATATAATTATGGGTATAACACTAACTTATATCTATGATTTTTACAATTGTAAGTATACCCTCACTACCAGAAATTACTAATAAATTAATTACTATTTAATTAATGCTTTTGACTACTGTTTCCATGTACATAAGATCAATTTTCCCCTTTTTAACAATGCGCTAGGAAAAAAGAAGACTTAGTTCGAAATTGAAAAAAAAAAGTATCAAAAATATGTGAAGTACTTGAAATCATATACTACATTTTTTCCCAAATAAAAAAAAAAAGAAAGATAAATAACCTTATTAATAAACATATCAATTCATCAAAAAGATAAAAAAAAAATCTTTATATAACTAAAAATGATCATTAATAAAAAATGTAAAAAGTTTTCATTCTCTACGTAGAAAAGGATTTCAATGCATAATAAATAGAGTTTTGTGATTATTAAATATTTTTTTAAAGTTAAGGAACTAAATTACCAGAACAATAGTTCCTTTTGGGATCTAAATGAATGAATCTTAAGTTATGAGATATAAAAGCTGAGGGACCAAATCTGCTATTTTCCCATTGAAGGAATTGCAAAATGGGGTGGAAATCTGACACGGCTATGGTGT